TTTCCAATACTAATTTATTCTTTTTATTTTTCTTACACTGACATCTCAAAACAGAATAAATGTGTGTTCTTCTCTTCACGTTTTAGTAGCCCAACTACTTTGCTTTATTATTTAATCAATGTCATCAAATGTATCCCCCCAAAGAACTGAGGCTCTGGGAATTCATAGCTGTGAGAAAAAAAATGCACAAAACTAACAAAACTTTCTTTTTATAATTTAACAGTCTAATAAAACAAGACCTAGCAATATATTAAGAAATAAATCCAGTTACAAATGCATGTATATAGAAGGAACTTCTGAGGATGTCAAAACAGAAAATGATCAGCTATTTACAAGATACACAGCAGGATGATACAGTAGCCAAGACCCACCATTCAGAAACCAAATGTGTTCTCTCCACTGTAGGCAACATACAAGAATCCATCCTCATCCTTTTCTTTCTCATAAAGTTGTCCCATAGTTAAGCTTGAAAGGGAAAAAAAGAGAAATGGTTTGCTTGGCTCATGCAAGTTGTCAGTGTTAACAGTCAGAACTACATATAAACAAGGATTAATAAAAGCTAAAACTTTTAAGTCTCTGTATAGGTTACAATACAAAAAAAAATGAGGGTAAATGAAAAGCAGTTGGCTCCTAATTTAGAGAAATGATCCTGGACTCTCTGCAGAGTAAATTTTTTGTATTTCTTCACAAATGCCTTTGTCAGAATGCTTCCTTATTTTGTTGGAAATTGGTCTCTATTTTGAAAACAAAAAGAAACCCTAGCAATTACTTGGCGGGTCAACTGCTCCAACCATCTATTTACAGATAGCTGGAGCAGTAGACATCAGTTGGGTGCACAAATGAAGCCTCCTCAGCTTACCTTTCTCTGACTTCCCAAAACTGAGAAAAGGCTAATGAACTGAAAGATGGAGATGGATGTTGCAGGAAAAACAACAACGTCATTCTGCCCAAGAGAGGAGCTGGGAAGATTTGTAAGCAGTACTTGCAATGGAAGCAAATTGGTGAGTAGTAAATAGATTACCAATCCTTGACATCCTTCTCTCCTCATACAGAGGTTTATTACATAAACTGAAGCCTGTGAAACGAGCAGAACCATGAACAGATTGTGGTTTTGTTTATTGGTTAAGAAGTTACCATTTTTACATTAATATTGAATGATCAAAGCCCTGTTTTTCTAGCTGAGATGTTACGTCTTATTATGAACATGTGAGAAGAGACAATGGATCTCCCTTTCCTGTGCCCAGCAATTCTGTAATACGGTTTTAAAGATGACATATAGGCATTCTCAGTACTGTTAGAAGAAAACAAGCAGAAAAGGATGGTTCTCGTGGATCCCTATTGTGTATTGGGTTACCTGGAGGGACTCTTTCTTTTACAATTAAGTATTCAGAATGATATCACATCTAAGGCATGTAATGACATACTATTTCCTTAAATGCTACTAAAGTATCTAGTGTAGAAAGTTGTAGTTGCTGCTTCTGCTATATTCTGTTATGTAGCAGAAAACAATGAAACATATTCCTATATAAAAGCAATGCAAAAAACTTTTCTATTGCAATTATTTTTTTTCATAGAAAAAAATCATTAAAAAAAAAGAACCAGCAGTTTGTAATGTTACAATTTCTTTGTAAACTGACAGGTTATTGTTTTTTTTTCAGAATAATTTATGGCATTTGCTATTGAGTATTTAATGTGCAACCTTTTTTGTTATACTGAGAATCATTGTTTTCTTGATATTGATGATGTACGTGTTTTTGCACTCAACCAAATGCAACATCGTAACTGCAAAGCTCACCCTTTTGCCGTGGAAGTAAATCATAATATATTTTTCAGTCACCTTTCTTTTCAGCCTAGCTCAAGAAATAAGACGTTTATCAAATTCATGAGGGAAAAAAAACTTTTAGTGAGATTAAGATGTGACAGACATCTCCCAAAATCACCAAATGAGCCTTGAAGAGCAGTGTTACTGACCCTCTAATATGCACAGGCTTGCTGTAATGATTCTGAATACCAAGTGAATAGCCTCTCACCTGGATTGTGGGACTGTCTTGTCTACAAAGAGGAATATTGCCTTCTCAGATGGCAGTTGAATCCTCTTCCTGATGATCCACATGAACTGGGCCACGGTGATGTCAGACGGAACTAAGTACTTCCTCTTGTCAATATCAACAATCTGAGATCCTGAGACCTTCTCCACTATGACCTGTAAAGTGCAGGTGTGAAGGTCAGGCTGTTCAGGATTGGTATGAACAGATGGCTTTGGTAGATTTTTTGCTCATACAGGCTTACAGTGGTGAGTAGAGGAGATGAATAAAAAGGTTTCCTGATCACAACCAAATCAGAGGTAGAACTGGCTCAGCACTGTAAAACCTGATTTTACAGCTGCACTGAAACCTACGTTTATATACACAATGGCTTGAAACTTCCTATGCCCATGTTTGGCAGTCATGGGGTAAAAAGGTGTATTATGCCTTAAAGACACCTGTGACAGGAAAGTATGCACACCACTTAACCTTTTGTACACTGATGATATGAAATTACTGCAGCGTGGACCCAAAGCTGAAAATGAACCAGCGGTGTACCCTAGACACAAGTAAGGCTAATAGTGTCCTGGACTGCATTAGGCAAAGGACTGGGAGGTGATCCTTCCTCTGTGCTGGTACTGGTGAGGCTACGTTTGTATTCTGCTGAACTGACATTTGGAGTATTCCATCATTGCTTCGGAAATCAGAAACTGACTACAGCAAGGAAAGATAGCAAGGTGGCCACAAACAAAACCAAACAAAAATAAACCAAACAGAAAGCAACAAGTGCAGGGGAAAGGATAATTAAGTATTGCTAGTGAAAAAGACCCGATGCTCATTGTACTACAAAGACTGATTCTTGAAGGAAAAATTCAGAAGGTCAGGAAATGGGGTTTACAAGAGGTTCCAGGGTCTCCATTCCTTAGCTCTACATTCCAAGTGAAACATTAAGTTTGAAAAATACTTCTGACTGTTAAATTGACACCAACTATTTGGTATCAATGGTATGCGGCTCAATTTGAATCATCAAGCAGAAAACACATACTGGTCCAGACAAAGGATTGCTGCAATTTGAAATTCAATTCCTGTATTTGTCTATACCTTGCTGTCCATCCCTGATACAGCAGTATGTCATTCTGACTCAGTCATTCTGACAGTGAGTTTCTATGTTTCTTTTTCCCCATAGGTTATCAAGGATATTTTTGAAATGGATACGTGGATACTGTGAAGATGTACGGTCATTAAGGATGCTGCAGTCTATGCGTGAGGGAATAGTTAGTCAAGAGAGAACAGCATGGATCATATCAGCTCGCCAGATTGCAGCTGGAGAAAATCGTGTGACTTTGTGCAACTGAGCAGCAGAAAAAGTCAACGGGAATGAAGATTCTTCTCTGGGCTGTGCTAATGGAAAAGTTAACCAAAAGGTTAGAGGCAGGAGTGGCACTAACTGGCATGTGGTCAGAGGGGATGTGGGAAATTTTATACCCAAGCAAGTCAGTTGAGAATGTAGACATGTTGCTAGCTGTTACATAAGGATGTGAACTGTGGTCTTTTCAGAGACTGAAACATGGTAAAAGGGATTGCGGAGAGAAGAAGAGAGCTCATTCACTCTTTAGCAGATTGGTAGGTATTAATGCTCCTCCAGGAAAGGAGGGGTCACCACTCGCATTGGCTCTTCAAACAGGGTTTGCATGGGGAAACTCACCATGATGACTGGTTATAGGCGTGGAATACATGAGGGATATCATCTAACTAATTTAGCCAGAATGGAAGATGGTCAAGGTTTCAATAGTCTTTATAATCTTTCTAAGGTTCAGGCACAATCTTCAAGACAATGAAGGTATTTGCTGGGATATAACTGCCATTAGAAGAAAGCAGGACCATGATATACCATAAAAATCCCTGGAAAGTTTTTAGAAAGCGTTTTTGTCAATATGCACTGGGGCACAGGAGGAAATGTTGGACTAGTTATATGTGTTTGGGACTTCTTTAAAACATCTAAGGACACAAAAAGGAAAATGAATTTTCTTAGTAGGAACTCATCAGAGTGGGCAGGATGGAAGCATTGTATCCACCTTTGCCTGTAAGTACTCTATTGAAGCTGGCTTGGCTACTCACCGGGACACGGTCGGGGTATTTGGCTCGGATTTTTGCCGACTCGACACATCTGTGCTCTGTGAACAAAACTCGTAATTAGTCATTGCATAGTAATTATATTGCTGGTGTCCTAGGCCGAGAGGGCAGCGCCGGCAGGGCCGTGAGCCTGCGGGGATCGCGATCACGTTCCCGTCTCCGAGTGGGTCTCTAGATTTTCGGGGAGACCGTCCCCGGGCATCGCACTACCCTTCGGCGAGGGCCGCCAGCGGCTGTCCGCCCACATACAAGACGACTGCCTGGGGAAGCCGACCGCGACAGATGGCGACACGGGAGACGGAGGGCAGCGGGGCCGCTGCCAGGCAGCGCCTGGCCCAGACCCACCCTTACCCAGCGCGTGGTCCTCCTTGAACATCCACTTCATGGTGCAGGCGGGCAGAGAGCGAAGCCAGAGGCGGCGAGGCCCGTGTGCGGGGGGCGGGGGCTCGTGCCGGGCCTGTCGCTGTCACGGTCCCTGTCACAACAACAGCCGCGGCTCGGCAGGCGGGACTTCCGGCTCGCCTGTTCCCCGGCAACGGCTTGAGCAGCCGTGCTTCCGGCCGGGGATCACGGGGCGGGGCTGTGGCGTCTTGACACGGAGTCACCTGCCGGCTGCGAAGCCGCCCGCAGGGCTCCCGGAGCACTCGAAGCCGCTCCACAGACTTCATCGCCCCGGCAGGTGTCCCCATCCGTGTGTCCCCATCCCGCTGCCGGGCGCTATCTCGCCCACGGCCCCGGGAGGCAGCGGTGCGCGTTCATTGGCTGATGGGCTCGTCTCCTCGGCGCTGATTGGTGCGGCGTCTCGTCAGTCCGACGCGCCGCCCAGTGCAGCGCTGAAGGCGCGGGCAGCCGGCGCTGAGGGCCGCTCGCCATGGCGGGCGTGGAGCTGTACTCGCATCCCGCGCTGTACACGCGCTACCGGGCTGGGTTCTGCTCCGCCGCTGCACTGGCGCTGTTGCTCATCACGGCGCTCACCTATGTGCCGCCGCTGCTGGTGGCCTACCGGAGCCACGGTGAGCGCCGCTGGACCCCACGCGGCCCGGCCGGGCCTGGCGCAGCCCTGAAATCTCGTGCTGTTTTTGCCCTCAGGTTTCTGGCTGAAGCAGAGCGCGTACCTGGAGCAGCCCACTGTTCGTTTCCGGTACGAGGCTCTCTTCGTCGCCACCATCGGGTCCGGCCCGGGCAGCTTCCTGGCGTGGAGCACATTCCCAGCGTTCAACAGGCTCCAGGAGGACCGGCTCCGAGTCCCGCTCCTGTCGGTAGGCTTGCCCGGGGCGGCCCGGCAACACTGGCGAGAAGCGAGGCTGCAGAGTGGGGCCAGTGGACCGGCAGCCGGCTCAGGGCACGAGTGCTGATGGCGCTTTTGAGCGTGTGGCCCGTCAGGCACTGCTGCCTTCAGGTAGCAGCAGCTTTATGTATAACCTTGTGCCTCACATCGGGATTTGCTGGAATTTTAATGAATCCCGTTTCACTCCCTCTCAGTGTTACTGAATCGTAGCATTACTTAGGTTGGAAAAAGCCCGTAAGACCAAGTCCAGTCATTAATCAAACCCTACCAATTTTGCCACTAAACCAAGTCCATAAACACCGCTGGTGGTTTGTGTGAACACGTCGGTTTACTTTATTCAAATTAGTTGTGCCGCTCTACCCTGGCCACATGGCTTGTCATTATATGAAGTCTGCAGGGTACACCTAGATTTGGAAGTAGATATGTGCCTTCAGAAACACATAATCTCTGCCTTGCAGTCACTTTTCTTTCTGGGATTGCACAGTGGCAGTTATTTTTCTGTCTGCCTCTTTATGAGCCCTTCTGTATTTTGCAAGTAGCTGAAGTATTGGACACTCTGGCACACAAGCATAGCAAGCCTTGGCTTACTGCCAGGCATCAGCATACAGAAGCCATTTAACAGGCATGCTAAAATAGCAGGAGGCACAGGCCTGACCACCAGTCATATATTTGCACTGTGTCTTGCACAGAAGATCCAGCACCAAGGCATGCTTTGTGGCATGCAAGGAAGATGGTTGGAATGGTCTAGGGCAGAAAAGACCTTGAAGTAAACTTTTCCTCCCTTGGAGGGGTGTATGAGACCTTGTATAACAGACAACAGTGTTGGCTTTTTGTCTCTAGTCCTCTGTCTGTAAATAGTCAAGTAGCTTTTTATTACATTCCTGACTGTGCAGTCCGTTTGCTTCCTTGGTATGTGTGTGCTGCAGTTGTAGGGTCCCCTGGGGTTTTACTTTTTTTGTTTTTCTTTCTAACAGAAATTCCTGTCTTTAAAAAAAATTTATTTAGACGAGAGAAGAAGACAAAAATCAAGATGGCAAAATGGATCAGTTGCATTTTAAACTGGAACTTCCATTACAACCAACAGAGCATGTAGTTGGCGTTCAGCTGATTCTACTCTTTTCCTACCAGCTTTATGTGAGCATTTTTAGTTTTGTTTGTTGCGATGTATAGACCTATTGTAAAATTCCAGTAGTGGTTATACAAAAGATGAAAAGAAACCTTCCACATTTGAAATTCCTATCCAAAATATGTGTTTTACTGAAAAATACTTAATTTTCTCCCCCTCTGCTGTGTCATTCCTAGTCTAGCTCTCTTGTGTATTTTGATACGCTTTGTTAGGGTTTGGTGGTTTTGGTTTTTGTTGTTTTTTGTTTTTTTAAAATATTTTTAAGCTCTATATTCTCTTGGGCTGTAGTGCACTCACTATACAGGACAGAAATGCACAACAGTGAGTATCAGTGTGGGTGGCACCTGAAAATAACTGAGATTTTTGCAATAGGCAGAAGGATGTGCATTCCATTTTCTGAGGTGGGGAGTCAGGCTGTTGCAGCAGCCTAAAACTCCTTAGATTTTGCTTAACAGTTCGTGAAGCATCGATAATCATCTGCCAGGATCTTTTATATCTTGTAACGGGGAGGAGGAAGTGTTATAGGAAGACAAGACAGTGCAATTCTGCTGCCATTGTACCTCAAATGGCAGTGTAATTAATACCTTAAAGCAAAGAGAAAACCACCAGCACACAGAGAACCCAGGGATACATCTGAAAGGAGCAGTAATACAGAGCTGCTTGGGTGCAGCCACACAGACAAAAAGTTGTTTTCCTAGGGTGATTAGGCTGTTTCTATAGAGAGTCTTGCTGATTGCAGATTGACAAGCTTAGCAAGCATAGCTATGTGGTGTAGAAAACATTCTTAAGCCTGAGGCCCAGAATAAAGGCCCAACAGTCCTGATTTTGGGCTGAAGTATTTGGTCAGGTATTGGTATCACAGAGTTACCATATTCACAACACTTTTTTTTATCCCACTGTGAATGTGGAAATTTTCCTTCAGACTGAGTGGTTGATAAGAACTAAGGACCTCCCTTCTTTATTTGGTTCTTGTTGCAGAGTACAAGTCCTTGATTTTGACTGCTGAGTTTTTTTAAAGTGTGTCTCCAATGAATATGTTTTAGTCACCTTGCTGCTTTTTACATGTTATGGCTAGTCAAAACTTTCGGTTATTGGCCACAGACATTGCACTTCACTGAATCTCAACTTTGTTGACATAATAAAGTTAGTTAGCTATTAGCTAAGGTAGTTCGCTTTTTAAAAAAGCAGTATTTTTTATTTGGTGGTCTCTTGTATAGACTAAGGTGATGATCTGAAACTTGGGAGCCCTAGAAAAATCAAATCCATGTAGAAAAATGTGTAGATACCAAGACATAGAAAAGTACGTAGTGTCCCTCCTCCTCCCTGCTAAATTTTCCTTTTTTGTGTTCACTTTTTCAGAGGATGTCAACATTTGTGATGCAGAGCATGGCTTTTCTTCAGTTTTTTTCTCCTGTGCCAGGGTCTCAGCTCCACGTGAATGGAGACTTGAAATTAAACCAGAGGCAATTACTTAACCACTGTGGACTGGATACCAGATACAATGTGAGGAAATGTTTTTCCCTTCCCCATCAATTCAACCCCCCCCCCCCCCCCCCCCCCCCCAATCTCTTAATCCTCCTAGTATCTTAGGTGACACCCTAATTATTTGTACTATTGCACAGAGTGAACTGTAAGACTTTTGAACTGGTGTTTTCTTGTTAGACTACAAGAAGGAAGAGGTTATTCTGCCAAGATGTTCAGTCTGATGTTCATGTTCATTCCTTGAAAGGCATGGTTACTTTGTGTAAGAAACTCAGTAGAATTACTGTCTTGAAGACTGGATGAATAATAAAGTGTCTCCTTGTTGTAACAGGTGTCTGTGGTCAATGGCACAAGTCCTTTTGCAAGTGACTATGATCTGGCAAACATCATTGCAGCATATTGGGATAGAAATGGTAAGCCTGAATGTGTAGCTACAGGACAGTAGTAGTTAGCATATTGGCAGCTGTTTTGTGAGGTATATGACTTCTGTATTAATACCTAAAAGCCCCTTAACCTGGACATTTCCTTTCTCCATTATAGTGACAACAGTCTTTTCAGATCCCAGCCCTGTTTGGATGACTGGAAGAGCAACGGATACACCATTTATCATTAATGCCACTATTCATTACCCAGTGGAAGTTATCTTATATCCTTCAAAAACTGCACAAACTGTGACATACCAGGGTTATATTATTTCAGCCTCCACCACATGCAGGCCAAATGAAAATGTTTTCTCTTAGATGTGTTGCTAAACTTTTTTTTTTTTTGTTAGCTAAGCAAATGTTACAGTTCTGGAGCTGATGAAATACCTATTTGTCCATTCCTTCAGATGGTTGTGCCTTCGTAACTACTTTTTGCCTTTCTTTATTGGTAACCCGTGTTGCTTTTCAGCTTTGCTAAAAAGGCCTTTAAAGCAGTTTGTTAGCTATTGTCATGGAATATTCGTAGTACATCTTGCTTTGGTTCTGCAGCACCTGCTGTCCCGATCTGTCACAGATGTCACTCACAAAGCATGATACTGTAGTCTGTGACCTAAAGCAAATTATTAGAAATCTGTATGCAAGATCATCTCACCAAATAATAACTCCTGCAGTGGGAGGCTGTTACATTTGTTCATGTGCAGACAGATCAGAATTTTTATCTTTTGAAAAAGTAATTCTTCACTGATTATGTTCTTTGTTCTTTTTCTGAGACAAGAACAAATCTGCATTTAGAAGAATCTGTATGGAGCACACTTCTTACAAGATTTGTTTACCTGCCTGAATATTAACAATAAGTACTTCCTGATGACTCAGGCACAAAGCAGGTACTTTACCCAGAATTGGTTTAAATGTCTTCTAGGACAGATGTTCTCTCCAGCTTTTGTTACCTACTGTGGTGGAAGGCTTTTAGGTGTTTCTGTGGTTCAGAGGCTTAGCATTTGTGACACAAACTGCTGTCTTAACAAGGTTTGTGCCTTTCTGTCTATGAGTTTCCTTGTTTAGATATTGCAATGGTAGCATCAGAAGGTTCTCTATTAACACTCCTTGACTTTGCTTAAATATCAGCCAGGATTTTGGGAAATTATTAAATTTGCCTGGATCCAGTATGTCAGCATCCTCCTTATCTTTCTTTGGGTGTTCGGTAGGATTAAGACATTTTTGTTCCAGAATCAGGTGTTGACTACAATTCCAGTATCACCAGTTCTGCCTGTATCTCCAGTCCTATCCTACAAACAACACCAGTCCTGAAGAGATGCCTGAGAAGACTTTATAGACATGCCATTCAAAAATAGTTCCCTGATTTTATTCTCTATACACTTCTTACTTCAGAAGATCAGAATTTTGTAAGTATATTTCAAGTATGCTCTGTTTGTGCATCCTTTTTAAAATACATGTTCATTCACCTAATTTCTTTAGGACCACTGCTTTGGAGCTGGAAAAGTTTATATTTTTGACAGTAAAAAACAGCCTAGTTATTTTTTTGCAAATGGAGCATGTGTCAAAAACCATTTTGAAAACTGAAAATAAAAATATGCTAAAAGTAACAATATTAACTGATTTTACTTCTTGTAAATCAATTCACTGCACTCTTAAGAGTTGTCAAGAGTTATTTGTACATGCATTTATGTATGTGCACTATGAAGTGAAAACTGCAGGGATGAGTTAAGGTCAGAGATGCGCTTCTGTAACTGTGACTATACTTATTCAGCAATTTAATTATTAAATTGGATGATGAATAAATTCAAGGTTGATGTGAGAAATCAGGTTTTGGGTGATAGCGTGTGCAAAATTTGCACAACCATTTACTACCGGTATTATTACTGTAGCACCTGACCATTAATTGTGAATTGTGAAACAGAGAATCCTTTTATCTATTGAAAGAAAACTAGCAAAAAATTCTGCCAGGGAAGCCTCAGAGTTTCAAAGCAAGTGAATAATTACCTTCAGAGCTTAAATTGTTTAGAACAGATAAAGATTATAATCACCTGGTAGACATTGAAAGACTATGTCCCTCATTCTTGATGGTGGTGGTCATAGGGAAGATTATTTTATCTTCTTTTTCTGGGCTTACTTTTTATGCTAGGCAAGCTTACAAGAGAAAACAACAGAATTTCCATTATATTTTCAGTTTTTTAATTAAAGAATTAATTCTAGCAAAGCAGTGTTATGGCAGGACATTTAAATCTAGAATTTAAAACAATTCTAGATGCTAGAATTCTGCAAAAAAAACCAAGTGTCTTTGGTTCTTTTGAACTGTTAAGACACGGTGCAGCTATGAAATAGGAAAGAGCAGCTGAGCGGTAGGCCATCTTTTGGCCATCATCCTCTAGAACTGAACATCCTGGCAGCTGGGAGAGCTATTTTTTCCAGAAGTCTCCAGTTTGTTCTTTGATCTTTGAAGTCTCTATGTGGCAGCATAGAGCTACTGATAACTGGCTTCGTATCAACATCTCCAGAGTCAAAGCAACTGTCTACTGCTTTTTTGTGCTTCTAGCCACTGCACAGCATGAACGAAGGGGGCTGTGAGCTTGTTTCCACCATATCTCCTGCTGGTGTACATTTGGTGTGCTCTCCTTTGCAGCAGTAATGGTGCTTGTGTGACTGCATGAGTTAATTCAGGGAGTTAATTATAGTGAAGATGATCTTTACCAAATATATAATCACTTTTTCAGACAAGTCAGTTCCCTGACTGAACTTGGTATGTATCTGCACAAGCATTAAGGTGGACATGAGCAAAGGGTAGAAATCTCTGGAGAGACCACAGGACCGCAATTTAAGGGTTTGAATGTACTACTCCCACAAAAATGGAATGCATAAGAATCTTCCTCCAAGCTGAACAGAAGTCTGTTTCAGTAGCAACAGAAACACAGAAGAGACTAATGCTCGAAAGCCACAGTACTGGGAGACTCCATTAATCCCTCTCCCTTTTTTCTCCTGTTGTAGCCTTTCACATTAAGTTAGAACACGTGATGCTGCTGACAGCAACACTTCAGTGAATGCATGTGAAATAAGAAATGGAGATCAGGCCTAGTTCCAGAAATACAGAGAAAAATATCCTTAAGTTTCTCTTTTTCTTTAGATGGCGAAAACTGGAAAAAATCCTGTTCAGTAATGTAAGCAAAGAACTATATACATTAAAAGGAGGCAATCAAAAGAGTTTGTTACTTGCAGGTGGCATGTAATTGTTTAATATGACCTGAAGCCACCCCTCCATTTCTTGTCAAAGAGGTCTTTCATGACTGGACTAATAACTGAATGCAGGGTAAAAGGAGCTGTAAAGGCAGATGTTACCACAGTGGGGAAGAAAAACCCTGTGATACATCTGCCTGCGGTCACTTCCTAGATGATTTTTATACTGACTGTAGTTCTTGGTTCACAGTTCTGACTCCTTTCTTGAGCTTGAAGAGACATTCTGCTTTTGTAAGTAACCAAGCAATAGAAAAAAAGCAAGATTTTATAGCTTAAGCAACAAACTGAACTACACGGGAAAAATATATACCTGAGGATCCACTGCAACCAGCATTAGAAGAGGTTTAGGAAGGAAGAGCCTTTCTCAGAAAGCTATCTGCAAGGACTCTTCTTTTGGCTTGCTAAGCAACACAAAAAGTCAAAACCACCACCATGCACCACAGTTGTACTACACAGATCTCTGTAGACATATGACAGAGCAATCTAAATGCTCGTCATTGAGAAAGGACATGGTGGCTCGAGGACATGGTGGCTCGCTAGGATTAATCAAGGTTTTAAGTTAAAAGTCCTATGCATAAACTGACGTGGGAACACGGCTCTTACATGGCCGTGTAAGAGCCATGCTTCGGGAGTGTTTTAAGAGGTAGAACTAGGAGAAAAGAAACCACCTCGCTGCTTTTTAACTCACCAAGCAGCCCGTTTTGTAGGGGGTATTATCTTCTCGCTCTACTCGCACGAGGCGAGCGGGACGCGGCCGCGCCGAGCTCTGTTCGCCTGGGGGTGCCGAGCCGGGATGGAGGGAGGAGGCGGGGGCCGGGAGGAGGGGGCTGCTGCCGCGGGAAGGCCCGAGGCACGCGGGACCCCGCGGAGGAGAGGTGGCGGGGCGCTGGCTGCTGCGGCGCCCGCGAGCCGGTTTCGCGAGCCAGGCGAGAGAGACCCTGCGGGGCGGGCGGCCTGCCCCGCCGCGCCGGTCCCACTCGTGCTGGGCGGGACAGGCCAGCGGACCGCCCCTGCCGGGCTGCGCCTTTGCCCGGGGATGCTCCGGGGGCGGGCGGATCGGCTTCTCGGGCTCCTCCCGCTGCCCCGGCGCCTCGGCCACGTATGAAAGCGGTTCATTGTCTCTGTCGGCAGCTCGGAGCCGCGGCGGTGGCGGGAGGCGGCGACAAGGTACGGACAGGCTGGTGCGGATGGGGGTGCGGTTATGCCACGGGATTGGAAGGCCCGGTCAGACCTTTTTTTTCCGGTCTCAAACAACGGTACTTTAAAGGAGATGTTTTTGAGCGGGTTACACACGCCCCTGCCTGTGGCGGCGGACTAGCGGCAATACTAGTTACGGCGGAGCCGATGTCGCACCGATAGAGGTAAAGCTGTCGAAAATCAGCCTGGTTATTTTAGGTGGTTTTTTTTTTTCTGTACCCATTCAAATACCAGTCTGCATATTGTTGATACAATAAGCTTCTGCCTTATGAAGATGTGAGATTTCTAGCTGCATAAGAATACTGGAAAGTGATGTTTTGTCAGTGGGGTGATTTACTGCAAGAATTACTAGTAATATTGTTGTGTGTTATTCTTTGACCAGCTTTGTCGTGTTCCAGCATTTTACTTTTTTGAGTAGTAAACTATGTTTCTAACGTTAGCTCACAGAACCTTTTTTGGCGGTAATTGCATTGGTGCAATGTCTGATAGGTGAAGAATGCAGTGAGTAAATTTGATGAGAAGTAGACCTTCAGGTGATCTTTGCTCTATTTATCATGCCATGAACAAATGTTTTCCTCTTAATTCTATAAAATGCATGATGACATTCACTGTTATCATTCTTTTTACAGTCAGTATTGCTGCATTTGGTGAATTTTAAGTACATAAGAGATAATTACATTCATCTCGTATGACTGCTCTGAAAGGTCAGCATACAGGACAGTCATTTTTGGGTAACAAAAGGTTGTGCACATAATCCCGCATTAGGTATTCATTTTTCAGTGGAAGAAATCAATCTGGGAAATCAACAGAATCACGAAATATTCTGAGCTGGAAGGGACCCACGACTGAGTACATTAATCTGTAAGTTCTTTGACTTTAAAAATACTGCACAGACTGTTTAAAATGAAAGTATGCTGGAAATTTTCTCAGACAGAAAATGGCCAGGGAAGACCACTGACAAAGACAGCTAAGATTCAGTTGCTCAGAAGTCATTGTAGGGGAGCAGGTATTTGTAATTCTTCACTGAAATGTTTTTGCTTTAATCCAGCCTGGTTTTTCAGTCTTCCCACAACAGACCCAGAAGTGTTTGTTCTAAGGGAGTGTTTCATCCCAGCCTATTGTCCAAAGCTCTAAGACAGAGCATGGTTTTGACAGCTCTAATATGAGACACTTTCTGTCTTTCTACAGTCTTTTTAATATCCCAAAAAAAAAATTTGCAGTTTAATAGGAGGGTCTTTTTTAGCTAGAAAGTTAGTTTTTGCTACTTGATTAAGTCTCTTCAGGTTGAATTCTGTGCTGAAAGAAGTTACTAAGAAACTCTACTCCTTTCAGAGCTGACCTGAAAAGATCTGATTACTTAATTCCAACATTATATGTCTTACGTGACAAACGAATAAAAGTCCCTGGAAGCATGAGCTAAATGATCATCATTTCTTTCTTTCTTTTCTGCCTTTCTGGGTCTGAAAAGTGCTCATCTTAGAAATGAGATCTTTTTGGGATCAGTACTACCACTGACTGTATTTTTACCCTGCTTAGTAAAACTGGATAGCTTTCTGTAATGTATCTAGTTTCTTAGCAAGCAGATACTAGTGGCCCTGCAGCTCAGCAGTCTATCAAAGACAGTTTAAGTGATGAAGAAAATGATTGCTCTATTGGCCAGTTTGTATAATTAATTTTCTTTGAACAATATGTAAGAATAGTTGTTGTGGAATTGTCCCAGGGCTCATCTAGTGTAGAATCTTGTTTCCATTAGTAGCTGTTAGCAGGGAAGCCCAGGAACAGAGCTTGATTCAGGACTGGCAACTAAACCATATAAGCTAATGCTTTTCAGACCACATTTTGAAAATTTGCATTGCCCTGTGAAGAGATGATTGTGCCTCAAGAATTTGAGAGACTTCTGATGATTCTCTTTACCAGAGCTCTCCTTGAAGAAATAGTATCACCAAAGAAGTACTACTACTATCACAGAAAAGGAATAACAGTGTAACTGTTAGTAAAATAACTTACATTAAGGAGTATTCATTACTTACAGAAACACGTATTGTGATGCTTCTGAGTGTTGCCATACTTCATGTGTCTCAGCTGAGAGATGTGAGAGGCGTCAGAGTGCTGTCTGCTGCAACTTGAGGCCCGTTGCAGCCTGTTTTTCTGCTTGTTGTAGCTCCCTTGCCACTTGGGGTCAGTCTGATTTTGTCTCTGAGATGGCAGCTGAAGTGGCGGTAATGCTAAAACTTCTGGCCCCTCTGCTGGTTCTCCTTTCTCCCCCCCATGTTTGCAGTTGGCAGGCATGCTATAGTCAGGCAGGTGCACTACGAGGAAGCACTTATGTGGAACAGAGCAGGATAAAAGGAGGTGTAACAAACCCCAATTTTGCTTTCCGGAGAGGAGCTTGGTGTGAGCAGGTAGTGCCACTGAGCTGTTGGTGGAGGAGGAGGGCACTAGCAGAAAGAGGCAATGCAATGCAAAGCAAGTCACAGGCTAGTGTTTCAGCATGCAGCTTCAGTGTGCAGTTTTGGCACATTGCCTTTCTGTGCTGAAAGAGCAAGCTTGCCTAACAGCACCATCTGGCGAGTCCTGCAATGGAATAGGTAGAGGATCAGAAGTAGCCTGTATTGCGACGTCCCGTTCCTCGCATTTGGAATTGTAGAATCATTTACATTGGAAAAGACCTTTAAGATCATGAAGTCCAACTGTTAATCCAACAATGCCAAGTCCACAACTAAGGCAATGATATAATGTAATCTATTCAGTAGATTTATAAATGTGTGTATACATATATGGATCTTCAGCAACTCTATGAGAAGGTTATTCTATGGGCTTTTCAACAGCTGCTTTCTGCCTCAGCTAAAGTTCATCAAAAATCACAGAAGACTTTGTTGGGTTAAAAAAATTGTACTTTAGGGGAATGTGAGTTTAACCTGGGCTAAAATCACCTTAACTGCAGAATGCAATTGGAAATGGTAAGTGGTTGTTTACATGAAAATAGAATTACACATGCCCAACAAGAAAAGTGCAGAAATAAAGGGCACTGTTCACAGAAAAAGTGGTATATTTGGCCTTATGCACTGGAAGCCACACAAGAGAATACTTTACAGATGCTGTATTGTCCTGCGTAATTATGCTTTTTATTTGATGGTGTCTACATGTGTGTATATTCCTTAGAAACACTCCAACTTTTCTAAAAGGAAAGAAAATTAATCTTAAATATAGAAAACTGATATCTACTTAGTGTTTTACTTTTTCTTGCAGTTTCTATCATAATGAAGTGTAGGGAAATACCTCAGCTGTAGTCGTTTGATGTTATTTGTAGCGCTTGAGTCTTGTTAGTTCAGACATATTGTGGACTAATACTCACGTTATCTGCTTTTTCATTGGCACAGTGTTGTCTGCAACACTACTTGTGTGGGAACTGGAGCAAGGAGAGGTCTGAGAAAGTCAAGGCAAAAGTGAATGTAAAAAACAGCTTTTGGCTTTTATTCCTCAGTCTCCCACACTCTGCTAATAACATGTAAAGAGCAGTTAGTGTTGCAGCTCTGCAGCATGATTAGAGTGGAGCAACAGTTCTGCGTAGCTAGAGTAGAAACACATTCTTTAAAAAGCACAATTGAGTTTCTGAAAGCTACATAATAAGTGAGACTGCAATGAGCTGCAGAATGCAGTCTTAGTGCAGATAATGACTCACGTTTTGCACTCAAGAAAAAGATCCGAGATAGTTGTGTCTGGCTGACTTTCAGGCATAGAGCCTGTTTCAAGAAAAATCTTTCAATTAGCAAATGCAACTTCAGCTTTGACTTCAGCTTAGATTCTTTCATCCCCTCTGTTTGGTGAAGTGTCAGTGCAGGCTGCTGGATTGCTGGTGATCCTCGCAGCACAGAGAAACTTGTAGATGCTTCTGGAGATGTAATATGCAAAAAAAAAGATGTAATATGTTCAGTATTAGAACAAGGCAGATTTTATCTATGAAGAATGGCCAAGCTGAACTAAACTAAGGATTTATCTATCTGCTCTTGTGCCTGAGAGTAGCAAGCAGCGGACTGCTAAGGAGAAAGTAATACATTAAGCCTTGTTTCTTGCAGCATGTCACTGCAATACAGTATACCATGGGCTATCCGTGGCTTAGGGGATTGCTAAGCCATGGGCTGTAGCCTCATTTTTTCCTTTAACAGTCCTTGGAAGGCTTTTCTTCCCTTACTTACTTTAAATCAATGTGATTATTTGTTGAACTCCTGTATACTTTTGCTGCTACAGAATTTTGAAGCAGAGTTTCACATTTTTAATATGCGGTGTACATAAAAGTTTTGTAATGGGTGATCATTTAATTCAATTCAATTTATTATGTCAAATGAATATGTATCTTTGTTTACTAGTCTGCATGATTTTCTTTCAAGAGTTTAGAGTGTGTTGAAAAATGTGTCTTTCACTGTAACAAGAAAAAAATTGTAATTGCAAATGCAGCTAGATAACAAATAGGTATATGTAGAACTTCTGAGATGATCTGCATACATGAGGAATACTTTCCTTTACCTTGCCTGCTAACATTTACTGCCTGCTTGCAAGTGGAATCTGCATGAGTGAGAGTACAAAAGGGTAGGTGCCAAAAATCTCTAGTAAAAAGCTGGGGGGGAGGAGTGCATGTGTCTTGAACTTTGACTGCAAAGTAAAGCAGAAATCCACTTGGGCTTGACATGCCTAAGATTTTCTAGGAGTTATATGCAGACAAATCTAACTTGAATGCAAACTCAGGGTATTCCGTCTTGGGGTGTATGCACTCCAGACCAAAGATACGTGTCAGCAGCTTTTAAATTTTGTCACCTGTGGCCAGGTGTGGCTTCAGGTTGTGAGTTTTCATCCATCTTCTGCCTTCTGCAGTTTGGAAAATAGAGGGTTGTGGACAAACACCAATTGGTATAGCAGCCTATGGCCACTGTAGGGTACAGCACACACATTAGATAAGATGATTTTAATTTCAGCACCCACAGCTACCAATGTTCGCATCCACTCCTTTTAGGGGATAGAAATCCTTGTAATGTTAAATTGAAATAGAAATACAGTTGAGCAAGTCAGAAACTTTTTTTTTCTTCTTTTTTTTTTAGCACAGTGTTTACCAGTGTTCAATTTGAGGGCCTTGCGTATTTTGTAGTTCTGTTTTGGTTTTTTTTTAATCCAAGGGTTGAGCTGCATCAACCCAAGGTTTTCTTCAACATTGAACATTTACTTAGTTCCTTATTTCTGCAGTGATCTTAGTGTCACACATTACTTCCTTTTTTTTCCCCAACAGCTGTCACCTGCAGTGATCATCCCCAAGTGCAGCTGATTAAGGAGGCAGTTAATGCCACATACATACATACACATTTGAAGAAAGGTTTTACTAATGCAAGAGTTTGTATTGTCTAAGTTGTATTGTTATTGTGCCACAGGAGCAATGGTTCACCAGTATTTCCCTTCTCTTTTTCAGCTTTTTTCATTACCCTTCCTCGGTGAGAATGGCAAGGATTCGGATTCCTAGCACAATTGTTATAATTTTTGTTACGGTTCAGACTGGATTCTTACTCTTCATGTATGCCCGGTACAGTAGCTTCATGCCTCAGTCTGAGGAGAAACCATCACAAGTCCACGTACTTATTCTCTCCTCTTGGCGGTCAGGATCTTCTTTTGTTGGTCAACTTTTCAGCCAGCACCCCAGTGTCTTCTACCTGATGGAGCCTGCATGGCACGTGTGGGTTACAATGTACCAGAACAGTGCCAAAGTCTTACACATGGCAGTGCGGGACTTAGTCAGGTCCGTCTTTCTGTGTGACATGTCTGTGTTTGATGCTTACATGCCTTGGAAAAGAAACTTATCCGATCTTTTCCAGTGGGCAGCAAGTCGGGCTCTGTGTTCAGCTCCTGCTTGTGACTCTTTTCAACGTACCGACATAACCAGTGAACTGGCATGCAAGACTCTTTGTGGACGGTATCCATTCAGCAAGGTGGAAGAAGCCTGTAAAACTTACAGCCATGTTGTCATCAAGGAAGTTAGATTCTTTGACTTGAAGGTCCTATACCCCCTCCTCACTGATCCGTCCTTGAATCTCAAAATTATTCACCTGGTCCGTGACCCCAGGGCAGTCGTTAAGTCACGGGAACAATCGGTGAAAGCATTAGCCCGTGACAATGGAATTGTCTTGAGTACCAATGGCACTAAAGTGGAAGATAGCAAATACAAAGTAATGCAAGAGGTTTGTAGAAGTCATGTTCAGATTTATGAAACAGCTACTCTAAAACCACCTAATTTCCTGAAAGATCGCTATTTAATGGTCCGTTTTGAAGATCTGGTAAGAGATCCATTATCAGAAATCTCAGAAATGTATAAATTTGCAGATCTTAGTTTGACTCCCAGGCTCAAAAGCTGGGTTTATAATATCACTCATGGACAGGGACCGGGGAAAAAAAAAGAAGCCTTCAAAATAACATCCCGAGATGCAGTTAGTGTTTCACAGGCCTGGAGAAATATTCTTTCCTTTCAGAAAGTTAAGAAAATACAGGAAGTTTGCAAAGGTGCTATAAACATTCTTGGTTATCAGCTAGTGGATTCAGAAAAAGAACAAAGAGATCTGACATTGGATTTGGTGTTGCCAAGACGACAAAATCAATTCAGTTGGTCATCATTTAATCCAAAGCACTGAGACATTTTTGAGAGATCTGGGGAGTTGGGGCAGGGTAGTTGTTTGAATATTTCTATACTGCACAGCATATAGTAATTGGAAAATCCTTGGCTGTGACTTTATCTTTTCGTCTACTCCTTTTCTGTTAATGTAAGAAGTTTTTTTTTTCCCTGAGTTTTTTACATATTAAAAAAAAGAGCAAGATACTTGGTCGGCCTGTTACTGTGCTGCTCAGAGCATTATTTTAAGAATATAATTTAAGCACTTTCTATTAAAAGATGGATTCTCGAAGATGTCTGTTTATTGATAATACTTCTTTTTTTTTCATGCTTTAAGTATTTAAGAATCACAATTCTTTGTTTGTATATATGGAACAAAGTAAATAGTAAATTCCTTCACTTGACTTTCTTCTTTAAAGTTGTTTTGCAGTTGTATATTTTTTTTCAGACTTCTGTTGATGTTTTAAATCTTAACATACAAGTTTTCCAAAAGGTGGGGCAACTGCAGCAGCTGTGTTGTAAAAGGCATAAATGGAAACTTCATTTATTGATAGATTTCATAGTGGTTTATTTGGAATAGCAATATTTACAATCAGATACTTGAATGTGATGTTTGCTTGGATTGCAAGAACCAAAGGATATGAAGAAACTTTCAGTGGAATCATAGTGGAAATAGCGTTTTAATGCTGTCCCTGTTGTGTTCTAATACTGTGACAAAGAATAAGTGCACGCTTGCTCCTGCCACCGCACTCCATACTGTTATCCTCTCTCTGTACAACTATAAGCAATTTGTGAAGATCACTGAGAAGTTTAGTAAGCCTTGAAAATTTGCGTATCGATTATATTGCTGCATGGAAGTGATCCGTTCAACTTTGATAGCACAGACAGATGCTCGTGTACGGTTAATATTCGGTGCCGCGCCCGAGAAACTCCTGGGGCAGCGGTGATGCTCCAGCACCGCGCGGGCGCAAATGCTCGGAATGAGCGCGGGTGGGGGCCGGGGGAGGCTGTCCCCAGACCCTCCGCTGAGCATGGAGCGCGTACTTGGCGGTTTTGAGACGTCGCCGGTGCCAGCTGCTGACCAGAGCTCCAGGTAAGAAACCCGTAGTGGCGCTCTCCGTGGCTGCGCTCTGCCTCACACTGGTACTGCTACTTGAAGGTGAGCGGTGAACGGGCGACCGCGTGGCCAGTCCAGGGGAAGACCCGAGGAGGGCGACGGTGCCTGCGGGGCCCGCGGCACAAGCAGCGAGTGGCGGGGACTGCCTGCGGATGGAACGGCGCGGGCGGCAGTGCCGAGCGGGAGCGGGCAGCGGGGGTTGCCGAGGAGGGCGCCGGGCGGGAGCGGGTGGCACGGTCTGTCCGGAGCCGCGCGGAGCTACGGTGGCGCCGCGGCGTGGTGCAATCGCCTCTCGGCGGGGGAACTGAGCGGGCAAGGGGGCGCTTCACCGCACGCCGGGAGCTGCGGTCCAGGGGACGGAACTTGCTATAGTCCGTGTTGGTCCCCGGGGCGTGCTGGGTGTTGTGGTTTTCCACCACTCGGCTGCCGGGCAACCCTCATCACAACCAATACGATGTTTTCCAGCTCCTCAGTTTCTCAGGTTTCCTTTACCACTGTGGACTCCGCTCACCTAGCTCTTCTGTGCCACATACAGCATGCTGGATTCTTAATCCAAACCATGTCTTGCCCTTTGAAAATTAATGCAGCTGTTAGATGCTTATGAGTTATTCTTGTTCCTTAATAGGGTTAATATATAGCTTATTGAATGGAGAAATTAATTTGCAGTTGTAGCATCCTCCGTGAAGTCTGTATCAGTAGATTTATTCTAAGTATAGCACATTTAGGATGCTTCCATTTTGACCCAGTGAAAACACCTTCCACAGCATGAGAAGATGTAACAGTGGTTTTAAATGGCAAAATGGGGGAGTAAATGATAGTAGAAAACGTTTATTTCCTCTTTTTTTTTTTTTTTAATTTGTTGGTTTGCATCACTAATCCCAATTATGTAGGACAATTTCAGTCCTAAACTCCTCTAACTGCACTACTTTAAAAGTTGCGTGTACACTGATCTAATCACCCTCAGTCCTTTGTGCTGTTAATTTAGAATTTTTTTATTTGGGACCGCTAAACATAAATTTGCTAGAACAAAACTGTATACTTGGAAATAAAATTATTTCAGGTGTGAGCTGTGAGGATGATGAGGGCTGCAATAATATTTTTACAGGTAATTTTTCAGCTTCAGTCAAAAAAGTATCCCGTATGTCAGGAAGGTGATCATACCACTACCCTGAATCCATGTCAACATTATGTACATTGTTATCCCTGGATAACAACTGGACAAGAAGAATGTCCCAGCTGCAAGAAAAAAAAAGTCTGTAGTAACATGCAGGCATAGTCCTCATACGATGTTCATTAATATAATTCATAAATAATTCTATGGTTTTGTATAAGAATTATACCACTCGCTATGAAACAATTTAATAGTGACTGATTTCCATTTTGATGTGAGAAACTCAATTGCTCTAAGATACAGAGTAAGGCTTGCTTACCTTAATCAGCTTCAGTCATTTGATGAAGTTTTATGGTCTTGAGGCTCTTTCATCCTCCCTCGATCCCATCCCAGCTTTTCCGAGTTCTACTTACATTCTTAGTACACAAGCTACTTCATTTCATTTGCACTGAAATCACTTTGTATGTCTCATCACAGTGTTTGAATGAAGTTTATACCACCTGTTATTTTCCTTAACGGAAGCTGGATACGTAGATAAAGTAACTACACACTCAACAGTACAAATACTTCCTTTGCAGATGTTTTCAGAGCCAAAGCAGATTGATTTGGTGCTGGTGCACTGAAACAGAATTAGGACCTCAGAAAGCATTTATTTGTCCTTAGGTTGAAAAGTAGTGTTTCTGGGCAGCACTTGTTCCCTTGCACCTGCAGTTCATTGTGGAAAAGATTTCTTTTAGTGAGCAAACGTTGTTGTGGCTGGCGCAGTGAAAAGCAGAAGAGTTCTTGGTAAGATCATCTTGGTGGGAACGTGAGTGCCAGCCAAAACCTCTCTGTGTTCCGGTGCCACGCCGCTGCGGGAGGAAGGAGCATGAGGTGCAAAGCCCTGAGCGGAGCAGTGGGAAACGGGAGGTAAGGAAGAGTCGGGCTAAAGACAGATTTAAACTGGGCTGGGTGTTAGGGTTAGGGTTAGGAAGAGACATTTGTCATCCAGACATTTGTCATCCAAAACAAAGACCTGTAAAATCCTAGGTCTGCCTTGTGTTTAATGTGTTTTTACTTTGTATTTATGTCACCACATAAAGCAAGGAAAGGAGAAATGTGACTGGTTCCCACTATTGCTGTGTGAAGGCTTTTTTTTAAAAGCTGGTGTACTTATATTCTCTTTTTCCACACCAAGCTTGACTTTTCTCCTCCTTTTTCGAGGTCTGCTGCATTGGGTGTCCCAAGGAGGGCTGGGTTCCTCAGCAGGGGCCTTAGGAGGTGGCGCTGATTCTGCTTTTTCTGAAGGCGTATCAAAGCGTGCTACCAGAATGACAGTTTTCTCCACTGGAAGGCTTTCCCTCAATGCCATCAGTGCACGTGCATGTTTGAATTGTGGAACCAGAGGGACTAAGAAAAGCCAATACCCGGAGCAGATTTCTGTTTGCTTAGTTTCTGTGAGAAGCGGGCTGTGTGCTGGACAGGGAGAGGTGCTGTTGGAGAGTGGCATCAGCGCCAGGTGTGAGCTGTGAGGATGATGGGGGCTCGGAGCAGTCAAGAAACTGCTGTAATATTTGAGTAAAATGACATTTTTAGTGGCTGCTGAATCATAGAGTGAAAAGGTAGACATCCCTGTTTTAGCCTTTACCACAACCATTGTATCATGTGTTTATCCATGGCTTATTCCTCTTGTGAAGTTGTCTGGCTGCAGGCAGTGCATTACTCCAAAGGTGCTGCTGCGCTGATGCTCTGTATGTTCACAGTCATGGGCAAAGCCGAAGGCTCTGTGACTAGGGAAGAATGGCATGGACACGTTACTGCTCTCTCTGTTGCACCACAATTTTGATGGCTGGGTTTGGCTGCTAAATTGATGGAGCTCCTGGAAGAAATTTCAGAAAAGTGAGTAGTATGGCTATCTTTAAATTTATCTTTTACAGTAACGTTTAAAAGTAGCATTTCTACAGAAAACTGCCTCTTTTTTACGTGGCAGAATTTTGCTTTATGTGGTGTTCTGATTTTCTGAAATTCCTCACAGTTGGAGAAAAAGAGTTATGAAAGTTGCTTAGCAGTTTCAAATCTCAGGGTTTCTCTGAAAGCTGACTTGCCAGAGGGAGGAGGAAATAGCCTGAATTCCAGTACAGATAGTGTATAAAAGAACATTCCTTGACAGAAAAAGAGCTTTGTGAAACATCAGCACTGTTTCCTATAGGGCCTCCAACATACTTGTTCAGTAACTGTGGGCTTTGTGCAATGCCCTCAGGCACAGTCCTGAACAAATTTTGTACTGCAGAGAGTATCTTAGTTTACTTGCCATCCCCTGCTTGGTTACTTGTACCTGAGAAAATTTAATTTAGTGTCAGATGAACCCACTGGGAAATGTCCTTAGCTGATTCTAGTAGTGCAACCCCACTATGGTTGGTAAGATTGGAAAGTAGTATGAAAAATTTGCCTTGTGGAATTAAGGGTCTATCATCTCCTGTTAGGCAACTGAATTTTGTGACTGATTCCACTTCTCCTAATCCAAGCAATCTAAAATGTGGATACTTTTAAAATTGGATTTAGGCCTGTGGGGGCATGTAACTCGTTCTTTCTGATCAAATTTCTGAACCCACTGACTGATGAAAAATGGCCATGCGATAAAAATAAAATTAAACGTCTATGACTGAATTTTCCCTTGGTAAATGAGAGTATCTGTTATTACATTGGGAAAGATGTTTAATTAGTATACTACATTGGACTTGCTTGTGTTTCATTACAATTTATGGGTTGTTATTTAGAAATACATTTACCTACTATTCCTTAATGTGGTTTTGCTTTTTTGTTTCTTTTCCTCCCCTGCTAAAGAAAGGGTGGATTTTTTGTCGATCTCTTTGTGAGAGTATCAAATCATGTTGCTGTAAATATGTATAAGCAACTAGGCTACAGTGTGTACCGGACAGTCTTAGAGTACTACTCAGCTAGCAGTGGGGAGCCAGATGAAGATGCTTATGGTAAGTTCTTGTTTGGTCTCGAATGGAACTATTCTCATGTTGAAGGCTGCTGGGATTGTTTGTAAGAGTGTTACTATTTTTTTATATGAAACACATAAAAAAGCATGAAACAATTTGAAAATATATGAATTTATAATTATATTAATTATATGAAACCATTTCAGATAGTTGCTGATTAATGGGATTTTTGTATTTTTGTAACTTTTCCTAATTAGGATTATATCAGTTACAAAACTTAATCTTGCCACTTACACATTTTGTAGCATCTCTGGCAAAATCGACCACAGAACAAGAATAAATGAGAAGGAATGTCAGTGCTTTCTTCCTTTCATCCCATAACAGGGACTTGAAACTTT